GCTAGTTGATGGAATTCTTCATTGTTCTTAGAGAAAGTCAGTGTATTGTATATTTCAATTACATCACTTGTCTAGGCTTAGAATTATGCTGTAAAGGCGAATAATAAATACCTGAAAATATTGATATGTTGATTTATGCTATTATACACTATAAATTAACCGTATTGGATTTTAGGGGGATGCAATGAATCGGAGGAATATATTTATAGCAATAAAGCTAATGAGTTTTATTACATTAATTCCAAACTATTAGTATGAGAGAGATAATGTTCTTGGCTATCCATGGATTCACTAAATGGGTGACAGCTCCATCGTGTGGCAGAGAGGGAAACTCTGAGCAGTTTCCGGGACTTGTGACCCGGTTGTAGGTTTAAGGCTTGTCGACGTACGTTAACACCTACCTTCCTTCCGCTCGTGTTTCTCTCCTTGCTTAGCCAAATCTAGTAGGTGCATGTTAATGCTGCTCTACATACAATTTCTAGTATAGCACTTACTGCATTTCTAGACAAGCCAAGATATCGAAGATTGTACAGAGATTTCGCTGGTATACCACTCGCTCCCACTACAACGGCTTATAAATTAATTACTCATAATTCGTAATATTTATTTGTTTTTATTGCATGTTATAAGTATATTTGTCTCCCACTTCGTTTCAATATGTTTTCAATATTTAACAGTCGGTGTATTATTAGTGTATTAATAAATCTTTGTAACTGTATTGTAATGTCTGAATGCTGACAGCACGCCTGTATTTGGCAGCTGGCGGTGGTTGTTATAAATTGCTTGTGTATTTTTGGTAGTTCATTTGCATCAGTGTATAATTGTTGATACTACAGTGTATGCATGCTATAATTATAACGACTACGTAACCACACGAGCTGTGTAGGACTAATACTTGCCCTTATATTCAACAAGTACATTTGAATTTTGTTGTAATCTAAGTGTAATTTTTCAGATGCTCGGGTTTATTGTTAACTAACTATATAGTATCCATTCCTTTTGTTATATACTATCGTGCCAATTTCCAGAAAGTCTATTTTAGTGGATTTATACCTATTTACTGAAAAAGATACAATGAAAGTTCTTGGTGTCAATTTGTCCAGGATGCACGTTTATAGTTCCGAGTCATATATGACAAATTTTGCGTATTTATTTCTTCCATATTATTATAGAGACATTTAGTGTTTAACTTCATAGAGGAGCTATCGGAAATATATACAATTATTATACATATTGTTCCGTTAGCGGATACTGCAAATGTCGTTTTGTACGCAAAAGCTGCGCCACCTACTTTCTAATTGTACTTTCAAACCATCCAGGAACCCATTGAAATCAGCCATTCAGGAGAGTCAGGTGACAAAAACACGTACAGATTTTTTTTTTGTCGTAGACACGAATGTCAGATTAAAGACCTCGTGTCTTTAATCTGATATTCGAGTGAACTACTGTCCCGTCACGTTACGCCATATAAGTGTACTTGGCCGTAAATCTTGCTAGCGACAAGCTAATTTAATTAACAAACCAAACAGCGGAGTCACGTATTAGTGACGCTTATCTGCTCGGCTACCGAAACATCTTACTGTTATGTAAATGGTTTTTAGAAGTAAAATAACAATTGTTATTGTAATACCAGGCTGGGAGAGCAAACGTGAGTGGTGGACATCTTAAGTTGTCACTTTGTTTTCTTTTTGCATCAGGGTCCCTCCGGCGGACATCGACCTGAGATTCTTGTCTCTATTTGAGAGGGTTGTCATAATTAAAACAAAAAAATGAATTCATTCTTAAAAAAACTGGTGTTAAGTTGACATAGTTCATACAGTTGCGTGATTAAATTAAGTTTTAGTTATATTCAAGGTTCTTTTGTTTTTTGTCAACTGTATTTCAGAACATTCTCAATTTCTATTATTCTTTATTGGTTATAACCATATAAAATACTGCGTAACATAATTATTTATAGGCAGTATTTTCACTAATATAGGCTTTTAATAATTCTTATTTCAATAGTAAATACAGTAAGGCAATGAGGTTAGTAAATCCTTTTAGGTTTTGATTCATTGTCAATTTGTTTGATTTAAATCTATTTTAGGACACAAAATTATAGTTAATAATTTATTAGAAACATGTCTTTTTAATATTATATTAATAATAAGTCATCATTTCAAATTTCGTTCAGATCTGTTCAGCTGATTAGTCGTGAAAAGGTGACAAAGAAACAGACAGACCTTTGAATTTATGATAGTAGTACAGATTTAAAAAAAATATCTCTTAGATACCTATATGTAATATAGTATTATAACATGAATCCATTGCCAGCTGTAACAAAAATATAACAGCTGGTATTTCAGTGAAATTATCTTTACCTAGCTATGATCCGCGATTTCGTCTGCACAAACTTTTATTTCCTATTTCACCTATTACCAGATTTTTAAATCAAAAATGCCTATGTCTATCCGCGTCCATGTCAATAACTTCATGGCAATATTATCAAGATATAGTCAGCCGTTTACTTGTGACAATGTAACAAACAGACAGAAAGACACACCTTCGTGTTTATAATATTAGTATAGGATGTACAGTAAAAGTAGTATTAAAAGATTAAAATTTCATGATCGTTGGAGTAGATCCAACAAGTAGAAAATTATTTTCGTACTATATGTATTTAACTATTTATTTATTATAATTAGCAGTATTATCATTCCTTATGTCGTACGTAGAAAATGCATCGTAATTTGTATCACAGATCTTAATGGCTATTTGTATAGAGGAAAGAATATATCTACTCGTAGAATACACAGTCTATGAGTATATCTTTCATCAATTTAGATTTAATTCAACTTGCTTACAAAGTTTTATTAATAGTCATATGTGTTGGATATCTTTATTATCTAGCCTTTATTTGGTCCATATCGAATGAGTGCTGGGTGAAGGGGTGAACGTATATATAAAATAAAACATAGTATATATCAGGTATAAGAGTCTATATTCAAAAGAGAGAAAAGTATCTACAAGAGATGACTGCTATTCAAAAGGGCGGTAATTTGGTCTAATAATTAGAATAAGCGTAGGAAGTTAGAATTTTCATATATTAAAATCACGATAATTTCTAACAATATTTTTTTATATTGTATGTCTTTTTTTTTAAAAGGAAACTATAATAAATTTGTTCTGTCTGAATAAACTAGATTTCGTTAATGATGTAGTTGTTTACTAAGAAAAACATTAGGAGATTCCTACTCAAATGGAATAAAGTAATCCACGCAAACAAAGCCGCTATCAGCTATTTTAAAACAAAATAAAATGTTTACAAAAATGTGGCAACCCTAATCGAATGTTACGGTAAAAGTGTAAGCTAGTAGCGACTGAAGAACGCACGTGAGGTGATTTTGTTTGTTATTCGAGCGCATTCGACTCAGGGCCGTGTTCTCGGAAATTAACTTTGATACGCCTAGATGCTGCGCTGGCCCTTCAGGTATCAACTCCACAGTTCTCTGTTGTTTCTTCATATAAATAATTATTGACAGTCGTACAGTGACACACCGTCAAAATCGTAGTAAATATTTATTTTATTGATGTATGTGTTTATTTATTTTACTGATATCAAAGTAGAATTTAAATAAGAATTTATATTATGTACTTATCTATATTGGTGCAGGTGTGAAATATTCAATATTAGTTATATTTTTACCAGCAATAGATCGTAATTTTTACGATCTCATCTACGTGAGTATCTTAGCTTGCTTTTTAAACTGTTTCCATCAGATTAGGCTGTGAAATTACAGGATAAGAGGCACGACATTTTAAACTCATGTAACGTGATGTCCGTACTGCTGTTTATTTATATAGGCGATGGTTATTGTATACCATTAGGAGGCCGGCACCTTGTTTGTCAGAAATATATAAATATATACCTTTAACCCACCAGATAAAAATCTGTATGTAAATACTCTCTACCAGGTTGTTCTAAGAAATTACGTATAGCAATTAGACACCTTGGTAATGCACTTTTTTTAAATACTGTTTTTACTCGTTATTTGTTGAGTGTGCGCTATAGAGAGTCATATACACATCATCATCACATAGCTTGGTTTCGGTGCAGCCAGAGCCGATATTTTTCACCACAATATTAATAAGTTTATTGAGTGTTGTTTGTTGTTTTTTATATAATTACGTTATTCGTTATAGCCCAAGAGCCCACGACTGCCAGACATACGTCATTTTAGTAAACGTGAAAGTTCTTGTATGTGTGTCCCCAACACAGGTAAGAACGATCCCCAAACATGAAACCTGGATCGTGGTTCCTTTGGCAGGTACCAGGTAATATGTGAAAAAGTGGAGCATCTTAAAGTAACGAATTTGATATGAAATTGTATACACTGTTGTTACCCAATATACGGTTTCAATGAGTCTGGTAGGATAAGGAACCAAGAAAACTGTCTGGCAATATATAGGCTTTATTAAAAACTCAGTTTGAGAGAACTCTCAATAATATATATAAATTTCTATATATTATTGAGCTATATTAAAATAACGTAAGTTTATTTCTAAAATAGAACTCTCAATAATATATATAAATTTCAGCTTTATTAAAATAATAAGTTTATTTCTAAAATTAGGGGGGTCCGGCGGGGGGTTGGAACCACACTAAGGGTCTGGAAACGAGCAGAGCAAGTTATAATACTGTTACGAGCAATATGTGAAAAAATGGAGCATCTTAAAATAACGAATTTGATATGATTTTTTTTACACCTTTGTTACCTGGTACCTGCCAAAGGAACCACGATCCAGGTTTCATGTTTGAGGATCGTTCTTACCAGTGTTGGGGACACACATACAAGAACTTTCACGTTTACTAAAATGACGTATGTCTGGCCGTCGTGGGCTCTTGCTCTATTATGTTATATTATTGGCTCACTACATGGTTTGGTTTATCTGTAAGTGTAGTGAGCACCTTATTTTAAATAAATAAATAAATATAATGAAAGGTAATATTATTGTTGCAGGTAATGTGGCTAATGGTCGCGGTGTTGATGGCGGCGACGGTGGCGGCTGGTGCCATTCCCTGCGAAGTCGCGCAGATGCAGTGCGCCTACCGGTCCGGGTGTGGTGCCGCGCTCAACAACTACATGTTGTATTGCAATGAAGTCCTCAGCACGCCCACATCCAAGTGTCCCGAGCAGTGTGAATATGCGCTCATTGCACTCACTTCGACGCCGGAAGGAAAAGACCTGATGAATGTAAGTTTTTTTCTCTAATGGATCAAATCAATATATTCACGTAGGTCTATTACAGACATAGGTAAACGGTTGATTACTACAATCTTCTAAATATATATATTGATGATTTTAAAAACCTACTAAAGTAAGACTACCAATACAAACTGTACTCTGTAGTAGAATATACAATTATTATTTACTAGTTGTGCCTGCGGTTATACCCGTATAAAATTTATATCTTATATGTTATTCCAATGTACAAGTTATATAACAGTAAAGTTTCATCAAAATCCGTTTAGTAGTTTTTGCGTGACGGAGTAACAAACATCCATTCAGACTTAAAAACTTTCGCGTTTATAATATTAATAATAATAAGATATACTTAATAGAAAACATAGCTTACGGTAACTGCATTTTCTAGGAATGTACAGAACAGCAATAAGACATAATTAACGAGGCAGAGAAAGATGTATCCTGTTGCATAGGTACTGTTTATTAATTGTTTGCAAACAATACAAACATTGTTTCCACAGTTTTTTATTTATCAGAGAGTTGAAAAAAAACTAACGTACGGTTTCTAGTCAGTACCTAAAGGGTGTTTATTTCGATTGTTTACTGTCAGTTGTATAATCGTTACAAATAAATGTTTAATCAAACTATCCTAGCTTTCCATGTGTTCATTACTGAACTTAAATGAAAATTAAATGACTGACAGATAATTTTGCGTAAAAATACGATGTGACTTTATCAATAATTACATATTTTTTAGAAGTCGTTATGATAGAATCGAGGTTAAACAAATATCATGTTGTAAAGTGCAATTGAAGAATGATAATATTTTATCGCCGGCAATAATCAGGTCGCCAGTCAATGAAACTAAGTGGCTATTAAATAAATACAACGAAAGAACAACGTTCGTATTTGATATTGTTTCACCAGCTAAAGTTCTCGTTGTGTTCACAGCATTAGTGCGTGTCTGTCAATTGATACAGTGACCAATAAGTCTTGCGCTTTAATTTGTCTCTAATGGAAGGTGTAGAGGGGTCTCTGTTAAGCGGTTATTCAAGTATGGTGCGTAAGCAGACGGCCGCAATAAAATCTAATTTAGACGTCGTCGGGCAGATTTGTCGGATGGAGGCGATGCGGCGCGGCGTCAACGATGCAACGTCTCGCCGAATGAGGGTCGCGGTTGACGACCTCACCTCGTTGGCGAGCAAAGTGCTACTAGGGCTTACTAGGTGAAGTTAGTATTTATAACTCTAATTCTCAAACAAAAAAATCCATCACTATTAAAAAATAGCTGACTTCTGTACAAGAGTTCGTGATTTACTATATTTATAGGTACTACCTATCTAGAAATTACGTAGGCACAAACAGTTATCAGCAGATTTTACTAAAGTACGCATTATTTAGTATTATGTGTATGTATGTGTGTATGTATATCTATGGTTCGACAATTAGATTTCGACAGGTATTTCTAACAAGAGTTATTATAATGCTGTTTAGCGACTTATTATTATATAGAGATAGTTTAAATCTATGTTTTTCTTCGCAATATTATGTAGGTGGATTATGACGTCAATGAGCTGTCACATTTTTTATTTATACCTACATGTAACTATAATAAACCTATATGGCACATATCTGTACACACATTATGTATGTGGTAGTATTAGTAAGAGATGTCCAAAAGATATAAAAGCCAAATAAATAATATTCAGTATGGTATTTACATGCAGTTGCTATTACTTTACATGCAGTATACATGTGGTTTTTTTTTGTAAAGTAATGTCTGTCGATGTCTGTCGCTTTCTTTGTGGCGACATCTTTTTGGCCTATGTTTTATTCCTCAGCCTTTTTTATTATTTTAATATATCTCATATTTGATAATATAAAGACAGATATAAACTTCAAAACTTAACTTCAGTTCTGGGTCTATTTTTAATGCTAAAAGTATTTACGGATTGTATCCGTATTCGAAACCGACCAAACTCAGATATAAAAAATTAATTTTAGTTCTCTATTATCCATCACATTAGATTTAGATTGATGCTTTTACGAGAGGAATACTCTGAATTGGAGATCTCTTAATTTCGATACTTGATTCATGATGTACGTATTCTTGATCTTATTTCTTATGACACAGTTTTAATGCACGCGATCACTTCATTGCAATGTAGTACCTAATCGAAATATTTAAATTATATTATTATTAGATTTACATTCATACTAATGTTAAGTAAGTAAGCTAAATGTAAGAGGAAGTACCCATGTCATTTTGTTTGGAACTTTTTAACGAGTAAACAGATGGATCTTAATGAAATTTGACATGAAGCTAGATTGTATCACATGGTGAGATATAGACCATCGTTTATTTCGTAATATCTTTTAATAGAAATAAAATATTTTAATTATATAAAATAGGTATGGAAGATGTAAAGTAGTGATTGAAATGTTCAAAAGTAAATTTTATCTCACAACCTCTTTTACAGTTTTTAGTTAGGTTAAAATAAACGTATGTTTCAGTTATAAAAAAGCTGTAATGGTATATGTCTATCTTTATCTATGTTTATTACTATGTACATAATATTTATCTTTATGCGACTTAATCTAGTTCTTGACAAATAGTTTAAAGATCTTTTATTAGTTATTTTGCTACCATAATTATTATTGGTGTAGTGCATTGGGCAATATATCGAGAGGCGAAGGCAAAGGAGCGGCCGCATACAGCCTTGAGATTTGACGTCTTGATCGAGACCTACCGCAGCGTCGACTTGTGCAGGTGTTGCCCATTCCCACAAAAAAATATCGAGCGTAAGTCGGCGGCTGTTCATTATCTGTGGAAACCAACCTAGAGAGACTGCTAAATTGACCTCTGAATCGGTATAATGTAGGGATGTAACTGTATGTAGAAAAAGTGGTTTATTAATTATTCGATTGTACTTGTATAAAATACTTTTTATGATAATTGATTAAATAGAAAATTATTTTCTTAAATAATTATTATTTTCCATAATCAATAATTCTCAGCACTATCTGTTTGAATGGTAGAAAATACCGCATAGTTTTAAGTACTTTTGTGCTATATGCATTAAAGTTATTTAATTTTTTTTTCTAAATGTAACATTCGGACCCATGTAGTGTTCTTATCTTTTTGTAGTTACCATTTTGACTAGATTGTTTAGGCCACTCGAATGTAAAAATGGAATAAAATGCATCAGTGAAAATAAGCCATTCTTTATTGAATAATAATCGATTTTTATATAATCGAATATTTTTGACATCCCTAGTATAATGAATAAGAGATTAGTTACGTTCAACCGGCTAATGATATTAGGCTCTATTCGTATACCTACTAAATATCTATTTAATGCTATAACATAAACTTTATTATTGATAATCTGCCGTAGCTTATGTAAATTACCATCTAACATTTTCTTATCCACAATATGCGTATAATTTTGGTTTCAAAACTTGCCATGCCACATTGCTTTACAAGAATTCGTATAATCATGTAACTGTAAGTTGATAGTTATTATAATAAATATTTTACAAAGGTGTATTTTGATAGTAGCTGGAATATATCTGGCTATCGTAAAAAAGTTTTACGATCGTGAAAAGTTATTATACGCATTCTGAACGGCGAGGATTTATGGTTTTCCCAAAAGTATACCATATTACAGATATAGTATATGGTAGCACCCAAATTCGAATGACGGCAAGCAATTTATAAATAATTTTTTCGTTTGTTACAGTGCCAATGTAAGGATGGATACTGCGAAGGAATGAAACAGCGAATAGAGATCTGCCGGTCTCAGGTTGTAAGAGGTGCTGCAAATGCTACAGCTTCTTGTCGTCTGTCGCAGATGATTTGTCTCGCAGACTCCGAGTGCGCTGCTGCTCTCGAATATTATAAACATCTTTGTTGGTCCATGTATGAAGGGCGGAAATGTTCCAGAAAATGTCGAAACTCTATAGGAATATTAAGGAAACAGGAGAAAGCTGCAGCGCTCTCGGCCTGTCGATGTAATGGCGATGAAGACTATGATTGTAAAAAGATGCAAAACAATTTTGCTAGACTATGTTTTCATAATAAACACGGCAACCATTATAAAGGCAAGAAAAAGAAACCTAATGAGGAGATAGAGGAATATCCTACATCAAACAAACCTAGTGTTGTTAAAGATGCAGCTTCCATTGCCGTCGTGTCTCAATTGTTGGTTATAATTTGTGGATATCTTACATTTAATACGTGATATTTAATACTAATTATCAAAGGATTACCTCTTGCTATAGAACTCTTATATATCTCTTGAAATATCTTGTATCCGACATTGAGAACTGTTTAGCAAATGACACAGATTAAGATCTTTAAAACTAAAGTAGTACTAACTCGGATTGCTGGAGTGTTTCCCAAAACAAACTCAGCATCGACGGTACCTTTTTGTATTAATAGTTTTAAGTTGAAATATAACATTTAAATGTAAGTATGCAATAATATATGTGTAAATAATTTAGATATGTTAATGTGAGGGAATTCAAGGGTAAACGAGATTTTTGGTCTACACATTTAAAGCAGTATTGTCTTTCAACCGGTACAACGTTAAATCTATCGAGATACAGAGCTAGCCGCCCACGAAACGGGTGACGCTATAAATACGGAGAGCGGCGCGGCGCCGGTGGTCCAGTGACAAATGTTCAAATACTGCCCTATTCCTGAAGCAGTGCCCGTCCATTGATCTAGCTGTCTTGAGCTGTCGGAACATGCTCAGATATGACGTTTGACAAATTACAAAAGACGGGTAAACCCAACAAATGTCATTGCAAAATTGTTTTGCATGTTCTTTAATCGAGGCCTTTCTAGTGGCGTTCCTTATATTAATTATTCTTTCCTATTAATTACGGTATTGATGTTAAGGCGAGTTTATAGCAACAAATAAATCGCTCTTTTCAAATAATTTTAGTACAAATTCATTTTATTAAGGTTTAGTAACTATAGTTTTTTTATGCATGGTGACTAAAAGGTGATCATAGTTGCAATAATGATACCAGTGAAGTATGAAAGGATTGAAATAATGGCCATCTAGGACATTATTCCAATCCTTTCATTTTCTGGCGAATTTCTAAGGTCTTTATCCATCAGGATGGTTTTTATCTTCCTAGCACTAAGGCTAATAGTCTTTTTAAATACCCATATAATTAATGGTTAGCATAATAACACGAATGGTCGCTATGGATTTTCCTTTAGACATAAAATTTCAAAGTCGATAATAGATCAGTGGCGGTAGGGAAGTGGATGTTCTAATGACATACTCGTGTCTAATTCCGGTGGTCGCGACACTAATCGTCCCGAATGATGTAGGGCGCCATACTCTTATACACAGGGATGTGACGTTCTGTATTAAATTGAATTTTATATTTTTTTGTTGGCTTAATAATCGATTCTTAAAAAGAATTTTTATTATATAATAAAATCGATTTTTCAATACAACATTTATCCACGACTCTTCTTTTGGACACCTGGTACTGTTTGTTTTTTTTAAAGGCCAATTGGTTTCTACATAATGTCGTAAAAAAAGCTTACTTTAATTAATATATTTTTTTATATACTAAAATTCATTTATTTAATTGATTTAAAATAAATTCCTTACATAACAGATTTTTTTTCACATCCCTATTCATATATGCCGCGGGATGCCACTGTCACGTTAACATTATTGACGTTTTGTTTTTCTCATATCCGTTACCTGCGTTGTTTTAGTTTTTTCATCTCATTAATAAATAGGTTCTTAAAAATACTTGGTGGAATCATCAAATAGTGAATTACATTACAGTGGTTTTACCACTAAACTGGCATGTCGTGTTCAGTGGGCTTTTTAGATAAATTAAAGAAAATAAGGATTAAAAATATCGTTACTGTTTAAAAAAAAGCGAGATTAGTTATTATTAAATTTATTATTATATTGTATTATATATTAGTTATTATTATATTCCTATAAAAAATAAAAGTTTATAGCGGTTATTAACTTCGTTTTTTATGTAGTTCAGTGTCAGTTATTATTGGTGCAAACTACTGTTTGAACTGACGCGATATTTATTATATCTGTAATGGACCCACATAAATAAATAATTTTTATTTAATTTAATTTCAAATTTCTAATATGTTTTAAGAGTCGCAGCCTGTGGGCTCGTTATAACTACAGGCAATACTGTTTAGTTTCCGTTATGTTTGAGATCTAGAACAATTTTCTACGGAATGTATTGAAAGTGCATTCTTAGGACAGCGACATAGTTATACAGTACAAAGACTATCTAGAACCGGTTGTGGATAAAGCTTAAGCAACAACACTGACAGTAAACCAGTAATATGTTATAAATCTGAAATTGAATAATATTCACAGTTAGTCGAATTTCTTACCGATGCATGTATCATTGAGGTAGCCTTTGTCGTTTGTGTGGTCACCTCTCTTATTTCAACCGCCATGCAGCTTGCTTTGTGAGTTGTGCTTCGTTTGAAGAGGAAATCACAGAATGAGAGGGATAACATCTCAGTTTTCCAGAATCGCAACGCACGGGTACTACAAGCCTTATATGATAAAGTAACAACAGATAGGCTGCTGGTTTGTTCCCCATTTTAATTATTGACAAAAAAATCTGTTATGATTATACAGTGAGTCTACCTACCTCCATGTATTACGGCGAATCACTGAAATTAAAAATAGCATTACATAAAGCAGGTTTAAAATTTTAAGTAATATCAATTAAGACTATTGTAAGTGTAAAATATTTGTGATTAGTATAAGTTTATATTGTAACATTTATTGCTCAAAGAATTAAAATAATATATTCGCATCTACGAAATACTTTTGGTAACTAGTAACATTACTTATTAAGTTATGTATTACGGAAGTTTATTTTTCCAAATATCGTACACTATACACAGGGAAACAAAAGTTATCTATTTTCAATCATTTAATTCCTAATCTTTCTTGGATTATTTATCTATGCACTATTTTAATGTAGATACATGTAGCATATCTCTAAATACATTGTATAAATTTAAAATTATACTAATATTGAATGAGTTAAATGTACCAGAAATGAATATGAGAACATAGGAAATTGTAGTGTCTCCCTGTCAACCCTGTTATTAGCATTTAGAACATAATATAGCACTAATTTCGTATTCATATGAACCCTTCATTACTAATATTTGTAAGCCGTGTATTGAATTATGTATCTCGTGCGAAGTCACATATACATACAAAGGTAAACTAATAAAAAATACGCGGAATGACTAATGATTGTGTTTGCGATCTAAGATAATTGATGCTGAATGATTTATTCTCAAACTTAAGTATATCTACTGTTATTTTTATGGGTACACCAAAATAAGAAAGATTTATTGTTTTGCTATAAAAGTTTTAGGACGCAATCATTTATATTTTCAATTTCACTGAAATTGGAAGTGGTACGTATGTATGTATATTATTAAGACGTAGTGTAAAGACAGCTTGTAATAATAGATTATTTATAGTAATATTTATTTATTTTCAAATTATAATCTATATAGCACAATTAAAATTTGAAAGCGTAAATTAACACGAACAGTATAAATATTTATCCAATGAATAGATGCTATACATATAAGTTTTGTTAATGCTTATTTTCTAACAGTACCTAATAGAATACAACAATACATTTTTGTTAGTAATAATATTGCTGATTATATAAGACAAGAAGCTGTAGTTTGCCATTGGTGTTCGTATTCATGTTAGTTATATTAATATGCAATTAACTATAAAGCCTGCATTTATGTTTATTGTAATAGTTTTTAAGCATGTGGTATAAGCATCCATTGTAAATAAACGTAGTGTAGATATATTTAGGTTAATTATTATGAGTACACAAAATAAATAAAACTTATTAACCACAGTTTACCAAAGTGAGATTATTAAAATTAATTAATAGTAAAATAAATGTGAATACTCTTCATTAACGTATAATATAGAATTAATGTTTTCTTCATAAGAAATGTTCGTACAAAGTATTTTTAGAATTAATTATAATAATTTATTAAATCCGGTAGATATAACATTGTAAACATTGTTGCGTTTGTTTCGTTTTGTGAAATAAGGATTTTAGTTGTATTTATTTTAAAAATTGCAATAAATTTCTGTTTTCTAAAAAGTATTTTTCATTTCTTTGATATGACTATAACCTGAAATAAAATGAACATCCAAATCCTATAAGACTTGCAACAGTCAATATACCCTTTCATAATTTTTGCAATCTCTTATTGAAAACAGTCAGATTTCCAGTACGGACAGAGGAACTGAACTAACTAAATAAAAATATTGGCTGATTAATATTACTTAGGAATTTATATTTTTAAGCACTGTTGAAAACTAATATTTTCATTGTGTTTAGCATAATAAGATTTCAAATACAATAAATGTTTTCAGTCATATTCGCAGTTATTTCTACAAAGGAAATCAATGGTTTTTAATTTCATTATAACTTATAATTGATAATTACTTGCTTTTTATATCTATCTAAATTAATAGAGAAAAACTGAAAGCGCTAACTTTTTAAGAAAATGTGAAATAATCCAATCCAAAATATACTTCTAATCATCTCTACAGTGTATTTGCATAAATTTTATTAGGCTATATTAGTTATAAAGAGGTAAAGTTTGTAAGTTTGGATGTCCGGTACCTACTACTGATCCGATGTAGAAAAATATCTTTTGGTTGGGCAACTCATTAAGGAGGAAATAAATATTTTATATAATTATGATATCTTTCTCTTTCTAGCTATATATCTTAAATTGTGGTGTGGTCAGCTTATTTTTCTCGGCCACTTCTTTCTATCTCGGACATCGTCCTCAGAGACCTCGCACTCTATATAAATTAAATATTCATAGAAATTTCAAATTAATTTTCCAGATGTATAAGTATAACTATATACTACCGTCATAGTTACAAGTATCAACATACTATACATAAATTTCTATATTGTATAAATAACTATATCGTATTTTTCACATTTAAAAAAGCGTTCACATGAGAATTTCTAGTGGATGGCGGACATAACCTCTCAGGATGTAATAAAAACTGCAATATTTCAGAACTAAACTGTACAAGTAGGTACTTAATCCTCGAAGTATTACTACAGCCAAGGACACTTAAAGTGCTTATGTGAGTTAAGAGTTACCGGTTTATGGGTAGTACGTGATTATTTTGGCAAAACTAGACTCCACGATCATGGGAACGGATGCTCATGTATCATCACTCATACAATACAACGCGGAGGGGAACATTAAGAAATAAAAAAAGTTGGTAATTTGGTTAATGGTTACTTTTATTTTGTAGTAACTTTAAAATAAGCAGGATGTGAATTTGATTTTGATCTGACTTGAACTTATTTTTTTTACTTGAATTTAACTAACTTGTTTTGCATATAGGCCTACCTATGGATTTTGATGATTATTTTATAATCTTGTGTTTTAGCTGTTTGGTCCAGTAGCTATTAATTTTATTATTGAAATTAGTGTACACACTAAAAGTAAGGTAAGGTTACCAATTACAAAATAATGTTGAATAATACTCTACTGTTCATAGTATGATATCCATATGGAAAAAAAAACAATTTTCGAAAAAATAAACCTAATGTCGGACAGTCAGTAATTCTGAGTAACTTTTCGTTATTGCTAAAATTAGTTCAATTTCTAAGGATTAATGATACATATTAAGATCCTATCGCATATGTACCTATGTAAGAAATGATGTAGAAACTAGTGTCCTAAATACCTAAGGTTGTAATAAAAAAAACTCTAAATAAATATCTAATAAAAATACTCTACCATGACGTCAGGATAAAAGGTTTTTCAAGATGGTTTCTTAAGAGTTGGCAATGCGTACGTGACACTTATCAGTAGTCGTAGTAGTAAGGCTCGTCTATATTAATATTATAATGCGAAAATGCTGTCTGTCTGTATGTTACCTAGACACGACTAAATGGTTGAACGCATTTTAATAAAATTTAATGTGAAGATAGATTGTATTGCGAGGACGGAAGAAGACTTTTATACCGATAAAAGCAGTTGAAGTCGCATGCAACAGCTAGTAATCATGTAAATGTTTTATTGCTGCGCTTTTAATAACTTGTTTATGCGTCTGTCACTGTACAGCTAATGAGCTAAATTATGAAACATTTTAAATGTAGATTAGGTCGACGGTGATTCCTAGTACTCTAAATATAGACAGTGCCTGTAAGAGACCAGTGAATATATTTTGTATTTATGAAAGCATATAGATTTTATAAGATAATCACAATAAAATATTCTAAAATAAAAATTTAAGTATAAGAATATATATTTAAAAACTGTTGCAACAGTTATTCGCCAACAATGACAAGTTTAGCTAAGCATTATACCAGGATATAGGTACTTTAGATTGGTTTAATCAGTGCATTCTAAATTCGCGCAATGTATTGTTTCGTGTCTATGGTACATAGGTACCTACCAGGAGGGCCAATCACTGCGGGTGGTCCCAATTACATTGAAACTTGTCTTTCCACGTATGTCTTACGTAAGCATAATTATTACAAGTTCAAGTAAAGAAGACCATTAGCTGATACAAGTGAGTGTTAGACAAAAAACAACCGAATTCGAACGCATTCTTTACTATGAAATATAATGATGAGATACTCAGAGGAATTCTTAAATTGGACTGTTGTTTAAATTTATCTCATCACGAAATGTATTTGTGATCGAATTAGGTATATATACATATGTAGATTAATATATAGCAAGTAGGGAATTATAATCCATAACATATGTACATATGGAAACTATTTGCTTAATGAACATGTTGTAGTTTTATTTTATATGTATATATAGGTAAAACGAAAAACCATGGAAAAATA